ATGAAGTTAAGAAGTAAACATATGTGGAGAAATAAGACATTGGTGTGTTGTTGTTTTTTCAAATAGGAGGAATCTGAGTCCATTTGAAAGCAAAGGGAAAGACTTCATTGAAAGAAACCATTTAAAGATGATTGATTTGAAAAGAATAGTTATCCTGTGAGTTGCCTGAGGAAACAGATACCATTGTGTCCAGAATAAAAATGGAAAAGTAAATTTTAGTAAAATAAGAAAACTTTCTCTGCAGTTACATTCACTTCTTTCAAAACATGCTCAGTATGAACTCAGACATTTCATTTTCCCACACCATCAGATCATCACTGTACCGCAATTAACCACAAAATTTATTTAACTGCTTTACTACTTGCTGACAACTTTGCCATCCTCTTTCTCCACTGCTGACATAGTTTATGACTCATGTTGATGATCCTGTGAATATCCCAGCCCCTAGTCCCTCATCACGCTCCAGGAACCTACATCTCTCTTTTGTCCTTGCATTATATAAGCAAGGACACAAACTAAGCTCAGTTATCAGTGAGAATGCTCTACTTCCAATAACAATTTTTGAAATACCTGATGTAAGATGCAGATCTTGTCTATCTATCTTCTGTCCCCTATTATTTCTGGTCCATCTTATTGCTTCTTCCTTGCCAAGGCTCCTCCTGCAATCCCTGGAATTTGTCTCCTCTTCATGTGCATTTTCTCCCTCTTCCTTTTTGCTAGTTTTTTTTTCCCCTTCTGCCTATGAATATTTGCAGTACTACCTGACTCCCATACTAAGAAAAACTTTCTACATACCTTACTATCTTCTCAACATACCTCTATTTTCTCCTCGTTCTCTTCCTTGTCCAAGTTTTTGTAACTGCAGTCTAAATCTGCTAATTCCACTTTCTAATTATCTTTCACTTATTAATTACTCATACTAGTTGGCTCTTGCCCTTACCAATCTCCTGAAATTAACAATTAACAATAGCATCATACTCCTCAATTGCATGCTCTGTTCTTCCATTTTATGCCTCCTAATCTCTTTATTGCTGATGTAAAAATCTTCCTAAAACTCCTTTCCCTTGACTTCTATGATACAGTAATTATCTGCAGACTTGAAATGGCTCTCTCTCTCTTCTCTCTCTCTCTCTCTCTCTTTTCTTATTGTTGATTTTCTTGCCCCATCCCCCCCACCCAACAATTCATCCTCTAACTGTAAACATCCTTTATTTTTGTTCAGACTTATTATGTCTGTATTCTTTCTTGGGTAATCTCTTCCACTATCATGGTTTATTGCAGAGTTGGAACTCTGTTGAGATAAGTAGGAAGGGACTTCATATTTATTCAACTCCTGATTCCATTTATGCTCTATTCAACATCTCTTCTTCAGAATTTGATATCTCAGGAAGAATCCACTACTTTTAGGACAATTTTACTTAAAAGAAGAGGATCATATTGTTAAGATGAATTTTCAAGCATAAAAGACCAGGTCTTTCAACATCCAAACTTAAGTCTCATATATATTTTAAACTTTTCTTCCTCCTCTCTAATAACCTGACTCCTCCTGGTCTGAGGACCTGCAGTAAGAGAGTGCCACATTTTAGTTTTATTTTTTACTTACTGTTCCTAGAACCCTATTTATTTTAGTCTTCTCCTTACATATTTGCTTCTATCTCTCCCCATCACTTGGCCCGTGAGTAGAGAAAGAATCTTCCCCACTCCTCCATAACACTCTACCTGAAATAATGAATAAGCACTTGAAAAAATTCCCTATTTCAAGAATGCTAACAAAGTCCAAAAACTCTCATCACACTTCTGATCTCTTCTTATGTGGGTTGTTTGGGACCAGAGGAGAGGTTTTGGAGAGAGGGTCCAGAACCAGTTTAGACTTCACTTGGTAAATAAACTGAATGTTAAAACTGAATTATCTATTTTATGGATCCAATTTATCTTCCAGCTGCATCACTTACTCTTTCCCACACATATGTCATGTACTTATACTCTTGCTAATGTCCTTTGTTTTGCCAATATATTCCCACTTCATCTCAGAAAACTTTCTCCTTCAAGTCTCTTTCATAAAGCCTTAGTAATCGCCACTATTGCTGCTATTAGCCTCACGTTTATTAACTCCTCTAATTATATGCTCTCTTTTCTCTTCAAACTCAATATAATTTTCTAATGGCCTTATGTAAATTATTAATTTAACATGAGATTTAGATATGAGATTTAAGCTTAAGTTGTGTAGCTCTAGTCTTTTTATGCTTGAAAACAAGTCTTACTTTACAAAATGAGACTATTCTTTAACTAAAACATCAAGTTTAAACATCAAGTTTAAACAAAAAACTCATTGTGAACAGAAGCAACATTTTATTTATACCATCATACTTCACAATGCCCACCAGTGTCTCTTACATGGTAAGTAGTCCTGTTTTGTCAAAATGTACTGAATTGAAGCAGGAAATGGAGATGTACTGACATGACCTGTTTCATGGTACCTACTGCTCAACAAATGTTCATTGAACAAACTGACATAAAATGAAGTATATGTGGGTTCCTTTGCCTGATGTTCTCAATCATCATAGGGAGTAGTAGGTATAGTTTATGCTAAGATGGCTATAGATATAGAAAAGATCTGAAAGGAAAATAAGGTCTAGAATAACAACTTGAGGGTGTATACCAGGTTTCAATATGAAATAAAAAAGAAAATTAGATTGACAAATAATAGCAAGAGACCTGTTATATTGAACTGCATGAATCTATAGTAGGCTAGGCATAGAGGTTCTCTACGAAACAAATGAAGTGTTGGACTTATTACAAATATGAAGGGAAGAAATTCTTTATTGGAATAAATCCATTTTCTGTATGTAAGGGATTTCAAATTTAAATTATACTTATTTCTACCACCAGAATAATTATTCACAGTCAAGCAATTGATTAAATTTTCTCTATTGAGGCTACAATGATTTATTGCTTGATTATGAATTATAATATAAAAAGAGATTTTTAAAATACTGTAACACAGGAAGAGAACATTTTAAAAATATATTTTTATTGATTTCAGAAAGAGGAAGGAGAGAGATAGAAACATCAATGATGAGAGAGAATCATTGACCTGCTGCCTCCTGCATGCCCCACACTGGGGATCGAGCCTGCAATCTGGGCATGTGCCCTGACCAGGAATCTAACCATGACCTCCTAGTTCATAGATCGATGCCCAACCATTGAGCCATGTTGGCCTGGCTGTTGTGAGCTTTAAACAGAGTGAAAAGGGGCCCTCTGGTAAATTTTGAGCAAAGAAGTGACAGCTACTTAAATTACAAAAGAATAACTAGGCCACTATGTGAAAAACAGACATTAGGGCTATGAGGGTAGAAGACGGTACACAATAATTCAGAAATATTGGCAAGTGTGATAACAACTCAGGCTAGGGTGGTAGCAATAAAAATTGTAAGAAGTAGGTAGAGTATGAATGTATTTTGAAGCCAAAAGTAGCAGAATTTTTGGTATATTGATATGGAATATGTAAGAGAGGCACCAAAGATGATGTCAAGTGTTTTTGGCCTAAGCAAATGAAATAACAGAACTGTCATCAACCAATGGAGAAGTCATAATTATAGAAAAATATTCAGTTTAATTTTAGACCTGTTAAGGTTAAGATTTCTGATGTATCTTGTTCTAGTTATCTATTATTCCTTAACAAATCATTACAACTTTAAAGGCTTAAAACACACTAATTTATTTGCTTATGAATTTGCAGTTTGGTCAGAACTCTGCATGAACTCATTTCTTCACTAAATTCTGGGCATAGAGAAATAAACCAAACACACATGGCTCTTTTTTCACAGAGTTATAGTGAAGAATAGAGGCATTATCCAGTTAGTGGAAAACAGAGCTACTAGTATAAATATAAATAAGGATGTTTGAATACACGGAATGTATAAAAATGAAAGCACTGGTATTTGGTGTTCTATAACAGAAAAATCTACTGTATTTGCAAAGCCAAGGAAGGATAAATAACATTTTGCAAGGTAAATGTAGGAAGGAAAACACTGCTGGTAATGGGAAGAGACAGTTCAAAGGCTGGGAATGAAAAAGTATGGGGTATATTTGAAAATATTTTATAAACTTAGAAGTCCAAGTTTCTTTGCTATCTGATTGAGATAGCAAAGAAACAGTAGCAAAAGATAGAGGCCTTGCTAAGAAGGATCACAATAGAAATTTCTGGACTTTACATAAAATTCAATGGGCATCCCTTGAAATTTCTTAAGTAGGTTTATATAAAATTAAAAAATTCAGTCTAGTCTTTTGTAAGGTTAGGGGATCAACTGCAGTGGTATATGTATAAGATAAGAACAGATTTCATTAGGGTTGAGGCTGTAAAGATGGAGAGTGGTAGATTGGTAATATTTAAAAGAAAAAATCAGCAAAACTTTTTGGCAGATTGCATTCATTATAATTTTTGATGTACAGTTTTTGTGTCCTCAACACATCCAATGGAAATGTTGGGAGACAGACATACTTATCTGAAACTAAGGGAAAAAACAACAAACAAAAAAAAGCTTAGGATGAACATGCTGATTTGACGCACCCTCCCCTGCCTTCCCTCTGAGGTTTGATACTCTGTTGGATGCTTCTCTGTCTCTGGATCTATTTTTGTCCATCAGTTTATGTTGTTCATTAGATTCCACGTATGAGTGAGATCATGTGATATTTGTCTTTTTCTGACTGGCTTATTTCACTTAGCATAATACTCTCCAGGTCCATATTGGTCTACTCATTTGGATTTACATACACATTAGAGAGCTGCATAACAAATGTATCCCACCAAATATGTACTAAAATATATGTGACCAAATGAAAATAAACTTTTTTTCTGCTTAGGTAAGCTATTTTTGAGTGTTGTTGTTTTTTTAAAACATTATAACTAAAAAGAAGTATTAATGTGGAAGTCTGGATATTTTTAATGAAACTAGAAAACTCACTTAAAATTCAAAAGAGATATGTAAATTTATAATTACCCTTTCTCTGGGTGCACAGCTATAGATCTTGGCTGATCCAGGCCTTGGGAAATAATTACATAACGGAAAGATCCATTGAGTCTTGCAACTTCAATTAAGTTGAAACCATGATCTGTCCAATATATGTTACCTAGAAGAAATACAGATGTGTTTATGATACAGTTGTGAGAAGGAAGACTATTTATTAGTTATGGCTCTAATTATTAACTTTCTGAGCATTATATAAACTCTCAAGAAATCATTTGCTTCCTATATTTTTATTGTGTACATTTCCTCAGCAGAAAGTTATAAATAATATGCAAATACTTCCTAAATCTCATACACCTGTAGTTTAAACCATGTAATGATACACTTATATGTTAAAAATAAGTTAAAACTTCTCTCAACCAGAGGAGAAATATATTTTAGCTTTCTGTAGACTTCAGGCAAGAAAAGTAACACTTCTGTCTACCTGCCTCATGGAGCTCTCAGTAGATTTAGGCAAAGTTAACACTATATAATCTGCTTCTAAAAAAACAAAACAAAACACTTTTCAAAAGGCTCAAAAGTATTAGATAAAGAATGAGGTCCAAAATAAGAGACTATTTACCTCTATGGCTACAAAAAAAATTGTTATGAGTCACTCAGAATTTTTATGAGGCAAATTGAGCTCTTAAAAATAGGTGTGATACACACACACACACACACACACACACACACACACACACACACAAACAACACAGAAAAAGTCATAGATTATACCAGCAATCCAGTCAATAGCAATCCCTTCCACTCTTCCCAAGCCATTGGTAATGATATCTTCTTTCCAAGTTTGGTCTCTTTTAGCTCGACTAATTTTATTGAAGCCCATGTCTGTCCAATAGATGGTATCATTTTCTATGGATAAGATAGAGAGAGAAAAAATACACACACTATAAAAAGTATCAATGTACGTATTAGGATCACATTGCATCAGTATTTGGGAATTAATATCCCGGGTGTGGTAATGTATAAGTAAGTACTCTTCAGGATAATACACTAATACAAATAGTAAGAAAGATAATAAAATAATATGAAAGAACCTAGTCAAATGTATTTTTAAATGTTTTTAAAATATATGTGGAATGACCTATCCCAGGGGTGGGCAATCCCTGGCACGCGTGCCAAACATGGCACACCAGTAACTTTTGTTGGCACGAGAAACCCTCTCTTATAATTTTCCATTTACAATTTTTTTCTTAATATCGACTTTTTTATTTTTCAGATAAATACAGTTTAGGTGCATCTTAGATAAATAAATAATTTTACATAACAAGTTATCTTAAAGACCATAGACATGGATTGACGAGAGAGGGGAAGAGCAATTTCTATGCCTCTGCCTTAACTCTCCCTGCCTTCCTAGATCTGACCAGTGTTTTGGTTTCATCCACATACGCTTGTGAATCTTTGTTCTCAGTGATGAATTTTGTTAAGTCTCGTAATAGGAGTAGCCTGACGGATGAAAGTAGTAGCTCGTGCATATCTCTGAAGGTCACGAAATATAAACCTGATGTAAAATCTCTGTCATCAGTGATGCAGCAGCAAAAGTCCCACTGATAATATCAAACGGAGTCATAAAGTTTTCTGTCGGACTATCAGTGTACATGTATACATTAAAAAATAAATGTATTTTTCATCATCATATACTGTGTTTTTGTCGCTCGAATGAATTTTATTATTTCTTCAAGGTTCTTCACATACGTACACCTTAAGAGATATCAAGTAGGCGTAACATGTTCTCAAAAAATTAGGGCTGGCATGCAGAAGAATTTTGAGTCAGAGATTTTGCTGGTTTTGGCACGCACTCATAAAAAGGCTGCCCACCCCTGACCTATCCCATCCTTTATTATTTTTTCTTCATTTTCTAACTTAAACTCAGTAAATACTTATCCCCCATGAATTTGCCATCTGGATAGCAAACCATGTTATTTTGGATAACAATTTTTCTCTTCACATTAATTCCTGTGTCTGATTCCTCTAAATAAATAATAAAAAAAGAATAATACTGGAGATAATCAACTAGATAAAGTCTCAAACTAGAGAGAGAATAGAAACATAAGGGCGTTTCAGCTATATCAAGGCTATTTTAAGTATAAGGTAATTCAAGATGTATGAAGTCTTTAAAATGCTTTATCATTTAATTATTCCTTCTGAGATACTAATTTAGCAAATGTCAACTACAAACTCCTTAGGTTATTTTTCAAACTCTCATTGTACAAATAGTCTTAAAAATACTTAACGAATGGCTCTATGCTATTGTAGTCTTTAAATATAGTGTGTTTTTGATTATTTGAATGAAAAATGTTTCTAAAAGTTATAAATAAAATACATGTGCATGCATATGCATAAAGGGTAGCAATTATAGTCCAATGATTTTAAATACAGCCACCAGAAACACATTGGGGACAAATCATTAAATAATAAATTTGCCACCAGCTAAGTAAGTGTTTGTGTGGTGACCTACATGGCCATTTGTAGAACAAATCTTTTTAAGACCAATATAATTTCCCTCTGGCACAGTGACAGACTATGGGAGTAAGGAAAAAGCAATTAGTATAATAAACCATTTATCAGTAAGTTTTGGAATTCTGTTTCAAATGAATTATAGTGGAAATATTTTTATTTATTTGAGAAATGATTCCAAATATCACCTATCCTCAACAACATTTAACTCAGAAACACAATTGTTTGAACCAGAACAAATATGCCATTTCAAATATATATCTGGAAAGCAAAGATTTGTATGACTTTTCCAATTTTGTAAAAGTACCAGTTAAAATGTTTTCATTATTAAAAGAGTAAATCAATCAATAAAAATAAGCATTATGTTTGCATAAACATTAAGCATTATAACCCATGTCCAAACATTAGACCCATATATCCAATAGCCTACTTTGTACCCCCACGTGTATGTAGAAAAGGCAATCTTGATAAACAAAAGGCAAATTCTGGGTCTGAAACAGGCTTCTCTTGCAGCCTTCCAATGGCAACTTTCCCCGCTACAGTGTCGGATAAGTGACAGCTCCACCCTTTGTTTCACAGGCTGAAAACCTTACATTCTTCCTAATCACTTCCTCCACACTTCACATCTAATCCATAACCAAACAGTCTCATATTCAATCTCTTACCAGGTGTTTTGGCTCTTTTTATTGTTCTTTCAAATCATATCCACCTTCCAACCACCTCTCACCCTCTCTGCTCTCTATAATGTAATGGAAGTCACTATTACCTCTTGCCTGAGCAATGCAATAACCTCCTAACTTATTGCCCAGCTTCCACTCTGTCTCAGCACTCCCATTTCCTCATGAGTCTTTTCTCCACTGAGAGTCTATCATAGTCCTTTTAAAAATAAATGAGATAATTTCTCTCCCCTCCACCCAAACTCTCTGACATTCATGACCTGCCCATATCCTTCCACACTCTCTCACCTGATATCCTTCCACTATCCCCCTCAATCATCCATCTCTAATAACAGAATTTCCTCTTCTTGAAATAAGCCAAATGCTGTCCAGTAAAAGGTTCTTTTTTTAAAAAAATGTTTGTATTGATTTCAAAGAGGAAGGGAGAGGGATAGAGAGAAACATAAATGATATGAGAGAATCACTGATCCGCTGCCTCCTGCATGCCATCTATTGGGGATCGAATCTGCAACCCGGGCATGTGCCTTGACCGGGAATGGAACCTGTGACCTCCTGGTTCATAGGTTCAACCACTGAGCTATGCTGGCCAGGCTAGTCAAAGATTCTTTACATTTCTTTGTGACTAGAATGCTGCCCTCCCCATTCCCTCCTCAATATCTGCATGGCTCTGTTTTAGCTTAAATAGTCCCCTTCTTACTGAAAATTCCTCCGACTACTCCATAAAATTATTCCCTTGCTATTCTCTATGTTCATTACCAAATCTATTTTTCTCCATTGTATAGCATGTATTACTGCAAACACATTACATATTTATTGTTTCTGTTTGTTTACTGTCTGTCTTGTCTCAGAGAACTATAATCTCTTTGAGGTCTAGAACATTATTTTGTTCACTGCTTTATTCCTGGCAGATAGAATATTGCCTGGCACATAGTAAGCTCTAAGTCAACATCTGGTGAATAAGTGAACAAATGTGATGTACGAAGACTGACTAGGAGTGGATACAAGGAAGACACAGCTATTACCATTAGAAGCTTTCAAAGCTCATTAAACAACAGAGGGAGTATGCAGATATAAAAAATGACTAACAGTTAACAAGAGTATAGCATGAGCAGAATATAAGTAGCACAGACATTTTTGTAGGAGTTTAAAGAAGACATTTACAACAATCTTTATAAATATTAGAAAAAAGGACACTAATTTTACATGTGACTCTAACTTTTGTGTTATTCTAATGGCTTTGCCATCCCTGCAAATTTTTATTCCATTTAATCAGGAACATTCTTTCTCATGTATAGAGCTGAATCTTGCACATACCTTTACTATCTTATTGAGCAGAAATTTCATCTTTTATTTTTAGAAATAGACTGTGAGATATTTCATAAATATCAACTGCAATTGACCCAACTTTGCTAAAACAGTCACATTAGCTTTCCACAGATAAAAGACAAATAGTATAATTGGTAACCATTTTCAAGGATAACTATACGGATATTGGTGTCCAGCTATTGTGCACTGTAATTACTGTCAGAAAATTTAAAAAGCCACATGTCATAATTGTCTGTAAAACAAGGGAGAGGCCTTTTAACACTGAGAAAATTTAAACTTTAGAGTTGAGCCGAAGTGATAACCACCTACAGAGGTTGGAGCATACAGATTATGTCTGAAAATAGGAAACAAGGAATACAGGTTTCTTAAAGTACTTCCACCCTTAGGTATCTATTTTCTCATGATTAATTAACCAGCACTACTGATCACCTGTTGTGAGCACTCTGGACTCTGTGTTAACTTGTACTTCTGAGTCCTAGGAAATTCAAAATCATGTTTCCTGGCTTATATTTACAAGCTGTTTTAGAAAATGCCATGCAGACATGAAAAAACAACCAGGTAAAATATAATGTATTAGTTTACTATGCTTCTATTAAGCCACATTTTTCCTAAATCCTCACCTGAGGACATATTTATTGATTTTTTAATAATTCTCATCTGAGGATATTTTCCCATTGATTTTTAGAGAGAGTGGTAGAGAGGGAAAGACAGAGAAATATCGACGTGAGAGAAACACATCAATTGGTTGCCTCCTGCACAAGCCCTGACCAGGGCCTGGGCTGGGGAGGAGCCTACAATCAAGGTACATGCCCTTGACCATAATTGAACCTGGGACCCTTTGGTCCACAGGCTTACATTCTATCCACTAAGCCAAACTGGCAAAGTCTGTTTATTGATTTTGGAGAGAGAGGAAGGGAGGGTAGAGGGAGGGAGGGAGGGAGGAAGGGAGACCGAGGGGAGAAACATCGTTCAATTGTCTCCTGTACATAACCTGACCAGGGATTCAACCCACAACCTAGGTATGTGCCCTGACGTGTAATCAACCTGCAACCTTTTTGGTGTATGGGACAATGATCCAACTAACTGAGCCGCCCGGCTGGGGCACATTTTTTTTAGCTGCAGAACTTTACATTTATCCTATCAGATGCCAGCTCATTAAATTTGTTCAGGGGCCCTAACTGTTGACATTTTTAAAAATCATATGTTATCCAATGAATTATTTCTGTGATATCCACACATTTAATAAGTAGGTTTTTTTTTTATCTTCATTCAAGCCAGTGATAAGTGTGTTAAGCTGGATTAAAACATATACTTTGATATACCACTAGAGACTTCCGTCTGAGGCAAATTGTTTCATGTTTATTATACCCTTAAAGCCCTCTCCAGTTTGGC